TTTGTTAAATATACACATTGTTTTTTTTTTTATTTCTTTAAATAATACTTTTCTTATAGAAACCTACACTTATTTTTTTTTCCTGCATTTGAGAATTGTCATTTACTTAATTCATTGTTCTGTGGGCAATAATTGTCGCAAGATTTTTGTAAATCCTATTTTACGTTTCCATTTTCATATCTTCTAATTGTTGGAGATTGTGTAAAACTTTCTTCACAAATGTATTGTGTTAGCAATTCCTCCATCCTTCTATGAAAACTTGAAGTATGTAAAGCGATCACCATGCACTGTAATGTCCACACAATGCTGCCCAGTCCCCATGCAAGAGCATTCCATCACTCTATACAAATGACCTCAAACAAATACCAACTTCTTTCATCTTGATGCCAGCATCAGGCTTACATCACTGTGCCCAGCAATGACAGGTGGGAAGCTCTGCTAAACAACTTTCACCTTATAAAAATTGTCAGTAAGCAGTAAAATAAGATACCACGTTCGCTAATGCTGAGTTAACAACCAACTTAAAACATTTAGACAAAGAGAGACAAGTTCACACACAAAAAATCAATGATTTCTTCTTTTTCTTTCTCACGTTTTGCCTTTTTAGTGAACATACTAATGCCCACATTGATTATTGTTTTCCAAGTTTAGACAGATTCTTATTTGATATTACATAATTGCATTTTTTTATATGGAGTAGCAATTATCATAGTTCTGTCTTATTCTATTGATTTTGCTTGCCTGTGTTTGTGATTGACAACGCTGAAAAAGCAAAATAATGAACAGAATAAATCCGTGAGATGTGAGTATTATACCCAAATCTATACTAATTAGGTGAGTGGGGCACTATATAGGAAATACAAGTATACACTTGTGGAGCTTGGACGTACAATTAATACATACAAATGAGACAGAATAAAACAATATAGTGTAAATCCACAAAAAGGGTGGTAGTAAAATAGAACTTAATCGTAAGTGTGTCAACTCACATTGATAAGAGGTCTAGGGGACAGGCTCAAATCACATCGGCATTAGTGTCGTTGGTAACCCTGCACCCTTTTTCCGGTGCTGATGGTTTTGCTCACCTCCTTTAAAGCCAATAAGACCTGGCTCTGGGTTGTAAACCTAGTTACCTCTAGATAGGGCACCTTCCCTTCTTTAGCAGCAAGTAATGGATGAAGTCAATTGGACTGAGTAAATTTATTAAACTTTAAATATAAAATGGAGAACAAAAAAAAGGGTGCAAGAGTATACTGAGAACAGGCAGCAGCTGAAATAGCCTGCCCTTCGGTGAGTCCCCACTCAGATCTCAAGCTGGTTTTAGCTCATCTTGTGCCATTACAGAGAGAACATCTCTGAAACATATCAGACTGGTCCCACCCATACGTGCAGTCCAGATCCGACATGCCAGGAAGTTCCCTCTGCACGAGAGACACAGCAACCCCAGACGATCGTTTCAGCCTTGTTAGGCATCATCAGTGAGGCATAGCTGATCTCTCTCGGCACTGTGAGCAAGGGGTCCACATCTGGATTAACTTATGGAGAGCAAAAAACATTTAAATATAAAATGAAATAAAATAGAAAATAGTACAAATTAAATAAAGTGCAAAGTGGTTAAATGTCTAGATAATGGCTTGAAGTCCAATGGGGCAATGTGTGTAGGAGGGGCTGTGTGTGTGGGGGGCAATGTGTATATGGAGGGCAGTGTGTGAATGTGTATGGTGTGTGTGGGGGGGGAGGGTGTGTTTATTGGGGGTCCAGTGTATGTGTGTGTGGGGCAGTGTGTGTATGGGGGGGCTGTGAATGTGTGTGGGCAGTGTCTGTATGGGGTGCTGTGTATGTGTGTGGGGGGCAATGTGTGTATGGGAGGGCAGTGTGTCTATGGGGGCAGTGTATGTGTGTGTGGGGCAATGTATGTGTGTATGGGGGGCTGTGTATGTGGGGGCAGCGTATGTGTGTGTGTGGACAGTGTGTGTATGGGGGCCTCTGTATGTGGTGCAATGTGTGTATGGGGGCAGTGTATGTGTGTGGGGCAATGTGTGTATTGGGGCAATGTGTGTAGGGGGGGCGCAGTGTGTGAATGTGTGGTGAGGAGGGTAGGGGAGGCTTTTTTATAAAAAAAAAGTTTTAAAATATAAATAAATAAATAAATATGTTCCCCCTCTTTTCTTACCTTTACTGAGGGGGCACATTTCTTGATCCCTGGTGGTCCAGTTGGGAATCCCTGGTGGTCCCAGTGGTGAGAGTGAACTCTAGCCCACAGCTCCAGGGCTAGAGTTCACTCTTTTGCAAGATCTGGAGCATTGCCGTGGTAACCTCGGCAACGCTACGTGCTCGCGAGAGTACGACCCGGAGGAGCTGTAGGCTGAGCTCCCGGGTCCTCTCTCCCTCCCGTGCCGGCTGCCTGCACGGTGCCTGCGGACCGGGGAGGGAGATCTCTGATCTCCTCTCCGGACCTTGAAGGCACATTGCAGCGCTGGCGCTTGGACAGTGCCAGCCCTGCATTAGCCGGCAGGGGAGAGCCTCGAGGGGGGGGGGCAATTGTCCCGTTGCCCCCCCCGCATCCGCCAGTGCCCCTCATACACACATTGCCCCACACACCCTACACATTCACACACTACACCCCCCAAACACTGAATCATTCACACACACTGCACCCCTCACACATTGCACCACTCACACACATCACTGCTTCTATGCCCTACTACAGACCTATATCTCAGAAGATCCCAGGTAAGTTTTAAAACTGTTCTTAAACGGTTTGACTACTTAGTCTGGGAGAGGGTCCCGGCACTCCCATGCACAATAACCACTACAGCTCTGTGTAGTGGTTATTTTGCCAGATTATTTCTTTAAGTGTCCCTTCTCGAGATCAACCTCTGGATCCGCCACTGACTGGACGTGGGGGATACTGGAAGTGGAGGATACTGGGTTGTTTACTAAAGTGAGTAGTGCAGAGAATTCAAAAATGAATTTCAAAATGAAGGTCAAAATAGCCAAACTGAAAGCACAGTTGTGGTTCAGCTGTGTTTACCTTAAATTTGAAATTACTTTTGAATTTACTTTGAATTCCCTGCAATTCTCAATTCAGTGACTAACCCTGTAAGTAATATGTAGGTGTCCTTTTTTCCAAAACCCAAACATTTATGTGACAATGTTTTTAGTTGACATTATCCCTTCATCTTACCTTCCTTTTTGAAAGTTTGTTTGCCCTACCACTATTTTATTCACAAGCACATAAATACATACGTCAAGGTTGGCATTATGTCAACACAAACCTTGACTTGGAAACTCTTGTTAGACGCAAGTCAACTTGGCAATTGTGCCCTAGAAAAAAGTTTTACTTTATACTAATATAATGTCTTATAGTATTTGATCGGTACTTCTTCCTACATCTTTATATACACTACTTGGTGTAACCCATTCTGTTCACATTATCATTTGCCTAGAGTAGGTCAAAGGACTAATTTTAATTCAAGAATGAATTCCACTGTGATTGTGTGACCTATGCTTTGAAGAAGATTGTAATTAAGTTAGTGTCTCTGCCCTTTGCCAAATGTCATGGGGTAGAGCTGATCTTTTGGACCTGTCAGCATTCCAAAGACCCTTGCCTTGCATTCCATATTTCGAACTAAATAAGAAAATGAAATCTATCTGTGCTTACCCATTCATATTTTACAAATTACAAGAAGATATCCACACAACTGTAGGATCCATGTCTAAATGTAGCTAGCAACATACATAGATCACAGCTGAAAATGATTTGATGACAGCAGTGACAAAATCAAATGATTTATAGGTTTTTCACCCAGTTTTTGTGTGTAAAATACACAATAACTGAAGTCACTTAGTCTCACAAGAACACAAGGCATGCATACATTGTTACGTTGTACATTTTTGAAATAACTCAATTCTGTAATGACAATGAAATCAGGAGCTTTGTAAATATTGTCCAATTCAGTATTTAAAATCTGGCAATTAGTGCATTTATAACACCACATTTAAGCTGCCACAACACGTTTGTGTTTCTTCCCTTATAACACGCTATATAATTCCCAAAGAAACAATATACAGTGGTACCTCGGACTACGAGTTTAATCCTTCCATGACAGAGTTCGCAGTCCAAAAGACTCGTAATCCAATACGAATTTTCCCATGAAAATCAACAGGAATTCATTTGAGCCCCAGACCCTCATACATACATATAAAAATATTTTAATGGTAATTACTCTACCAATTATTACCCCTAACATCACAAATGAATAACAATGAATAATTCACAATAAAAAATAAATATTATACAAATTAACCTGCACTTTACCTTTGAAGGGAGTTTTGGCTGGCGTGAGGGAGATGAGGAAGAGGAGGAGAAGGAGAGGTAACTGGATGGAAGGAGAGACTCTTTACAGATGTCAGGAGCTGTCACCTCGGGAGTTCTCTCTTCACTATCGGATATTTTATGCTTTTTGGACTGTGGGCAAACCTCTGTTTCACTATTACTCTTACAAACTTTCACAAGGAACCTATGTAATGACACCTGCTTTTGCCTTCTTTTCAAAATTTCATGGAAATGTGACATCACGTTATCATTAAACAAATTCACACTACGAATTGCTACAGTCTTATTTGGGTGATTCTTCTCAACAAAATCTTGCAAAAACACCCATGCTTTGCACACCTCCTTAATCCTCTGAGAACTGAGAGAGTCCTCTGCTTTGTCCTCCTCCTCAGACGATGGCTCCACGATAACGTCATGCCTCTGCTTCTTATGCAGATCCATCAGCTCGGTCGTCAGCTTCTCGTCATGTTCCTCCACAAACTCCGGGATGTCTTCATGGTCCACATCCAGTCTCATAGTCTTCCCCAAAGGCACAATTTAATTGATGACTGGCTGCTCTTCTGGAACGAAGCCCTCAAAATCACTTTCGAGAACGCAATCAGGCCACAGTTTCCTCCAAGAGGAATTGATGTTTATCTTGTTGACCCCCTCCCAAGCTTTATCAATAGACTTCAGGCAGCTGACAATATGGAAATGGTCTTTCCAAAACTCTCGAAAAGGTTAGGTTTGTTCCTTCAGTCACCTTGAAACATCGCTGAAACGATGCCTTAGTATATAGCTTTTTGAAGTTCGAGATGACCTGCTGATCTATGGGCTGAATGAGTGACGTGGTGCTGAGAGGGAGGAACATGACCTTGATGAAACTGAATTCCTCCAGTAGGTCATCCTCGATGTTTGGAGAATGTGCAGGAGCATTGTCCATAACCAGCAAGGCTATGAGAGGAAGGCCCCTATCAAGTAGGAACTGCTTGACATATGGACCAAAGCACTCGTTGACCCATTCAACAAACAACATCCGCGTGACCCAAGCCTTGCTGTTGGACCTCAATAACACATTGAGCTGACTCTTCTGAAACTTACATTTCTTGAAGGCTTGTGGATTTTCTGCGTGGTAGACAAGCAGAGGTTTCACCTTGAAGTTGTTGCTTGCATTGGCACAAAACAAGAGGGTAAGACAGTCTTTCATGGGCTTATGACCAGACATGACTTTCTCCTCAGCAGTGATATAGGTGCTTTTGGGCATCTTCTTCCAAAAAAGCCCAGTCTTATCGCAGTTGAAAACTTGCTGCGGCACATAACACTCGGAAACCTCAAGCCTTTCGAACTCTTTGACGAATACCTCTGCTGCCTTGGTGTTGGCGCTCGCAGCCTCCCCATGCCAGACAACACTATGGAGGTCAGTCCTTCTCTTGAAGTTCTTGAACCAACCACTGCTTGCCTTGAAGCTCTCTTCGTACATTACAGATGGACCTGGCAAATTTTTGACGTTGCAATTTGCCAGATTGGTTATGTTGCCTTTGAGATCGTATAGGAGTCCAGAAATGAGAATTACCCCCATGATTGCATACCATTTGCAAAAGTAGACAACCCAAGGTATTGCTAATGGGGTATGTCCAGTCATTTTTAGTAGCCACTTAGTCACAAACACTAAGTGTGTGTGTTAGTGTAGTGAATGCAGTGTGTGTGTTAGTGTAGTGGATGCAGTGTGTGTGTTAGTGTTGTGGATGCAGTGTGTGTGCTAGTGTTGTGGATGCAGTGTGTGTGTTAGTGTTGTGGATGCAGAGTGTGTGTTAGTGCAATGAATGCAGTGTGTGTGTTAGTGTTATGAATGTAGTGTGTGTCAGTGTAATGAATGCACAGTGTGTGTCAGTGTAGTGGATACAGTGTGTATGTCAGTGTAGTGAATGCAGTGTGTGTGTTAGTGTAGTGAATGCAGTGTGTGTTAGTGTTGTGGATGCAGTGTGTGTGTTAGTGTTGTGGATGCAGTGTGTGTGCTAGTGTTGTGGATGCAGTGTGTGTGCTAGTGTTGTGGATGCAGAGTGTGTGTTAGTGCAATGAATGCAGTGTGTGTGTTAGTGTTATGAATGTAGTGTGTGTCAGTGTAGTGGATACAGTGTGTGTGTCAGTGTAGTGGATACAGTGTGTATGTCAGTGTAGTGGATGCAGTGTGTGTGTTAGTGTAGTGGATGCAGTGTGTGTGTTAGTGTTCTGGATGCAGTGTGTGCTAGTGTTGTGGATGCAGAGTGTGTGTTAGTGTAGTGAATGCAGAGTGTGTGTCAGTGTAGTTGATGCAGTGTGTGAGTTAGTGTTGTGGATGCAGTGTGTGTGTTAGTGTAGTGAATGCAGTGTGTGTGTTAGTGTTGTGGATGCAGTGTGTGTGTTAGTGTTGTGGATCCAGTGTGTGTGCTAGTGTTGTGGATGCAGAGTGTGTGTTAGTGTAATGAATGCAGTGTGTGTGTGTCAGTGTAATGAATGCAGAGTGTGTCAGTGTAGTGGATGCAGTGTGTGTCAGTGTAGTGAATGCAGTGTATGTGTCAGTGTAGTGAATGCAGTGTGTGTCAGTGTAGTGAGATGCAGTGTGTGTGTGTCAGTGTAATGAATGCAGTGTGTGTGTGTGTTAGTGTAGTGGATGCAGTGTGTGTGTTAGTGTAGTGGATGCAGTGTGTGTGTGTTAGTGTTGTGGATGCAGTGTGTGTTAGTGTTGTGGATACAGTGTGTGTGTCAGTGTAGTGGATGCAGAGTGTGTGTTGGTGTTGTGGGTGCAGTGTGTGTGTTAGTGCAGTGAATGCAGTGTGTGTGTTAGTGTAATGAATGCAGTGTGTGTGTGTGTGTGTGTGTGTGTTTAGTAGTGTATGCATGTAGTGTAATAACTGTTATTCCCTCCTCCCTGTTTCTTACCTGGTTCAGGGAGTGGGGAAGATTCTTTGATCCCTGGTGGTCCGGTGGCATTGCGGGGCCCCCCGGCTCCCAATACTTGCAGAGGGGGCCGAGCGGACTGCAGCTGTACTTTACAGGACTTCCCTCACTCTAACTCCCGCGAGATGTGGTGTGCGCACTGCGTGGAGCATTGCCATGGTAACCCATGGCAATGCTCTAACAGCCGCACGTCTCGCGGGAGTTAGAGCAAGGGAAATGCTGTAAAGTACAGCTGCAGTCTGCTGGGTCCCCTCTGCAAGTATAGGGAACCGGGGGGGGTCCGCGGCTGCACCTATATATAGCGATCATCGCTATATATAGGTGCAGAGAGTAATTGTGGGGCCCTGGACTGCCAAAGCAGTCTGGGCCCCCCAGGACCGCCGGGCCCCCCAGGGCCGCCGGGCCCCCCAGGGCCGCCGGGCCCCCCAGGACCGCCGGGCCCTGGACAACCATTATGGATGTCACCCCCTGATGGCGGCCCTGTCCCTAAGTCCACATAAAGAAATATGCATGTAGTTATACAAATATAAAGATACGCAGGCACAGACATACAGAGGGACATGCAGGCACAGACACACAGAGAGACATGCTGGTACAGATACACAGAGAGACAAACAGGCACAGACACACAGGGGGACATGCAGGAACAGACACACAGGGGGACATACAGGCACAGACACACAGGGGACATGATGGTACAGACACACAAAGAGACATGCAGGCACAGACACACAGAGAGACATGCAAGCACAGACATACAGAGAGACATGAAAGCTCAGACACACAGAGACATGCAAGCACAGACATACAGAGAGACATGAAAGCTCAGACACACAGAGACATGCAAGCACAGACATACAGAGAGACATGAAAGCTCAGACACACTGAGAGACATGCAGGCACAGAGATGCACTGAGAGACATATCCAGACAATAGGAGACATAAAAATAGTTATGCTACATATTTGTTTGTGATACAAAATCTGCAATACTGAATGTTCATTAACACTTACAGTTCTGTCAGATTGGCACAGGATGATTTATTTAGTCATATCTAATCTTTTTGATGACCCATAATTTTTTCAGGGCAAGTTTATAAATTACTATTGTCTAAACTTTCCCCTGTGCTCTCCTTTAGCAGGGGAGCAAAGGTTATTGTTATAGAAGTTAGTTTTTTACCACTCGCATTACTGGTGTTATCTACACAGTTCTCGGTTTTAGACAGTCATGCTTTGTGTGCGCCAAATGATATGTGGCCTGTAATATCTGATGATTTATTAATGCTGAAAGTAACTTGTGACGAGAGCAATCTCACCACATTGCATTGGAGAAGCCTGGTTGCTCGCCTGTTGCCTTTGGATTATGGCCCCATGTTAAAAGGCTTGATTTTCCCCTGCAAAGACAAGAAGGCCGGGTCATTTGGTGCTTGCCCTGTTTGAGCAGTGATACCCCAGATAGCTATGCCATGGAGCCCATTCGTATAATGAAAGACTATGGGAAAGACTTTGGCTCCATGGCAATTGAACTGTGTGTGTGTGCTCTGAGCGCCATTCAGTAATAATGTGCGCTCAGACCTAAGCTATCTGGGCATATGTTGCATGTCTGTATTTTATGTCATAAATGTAACCAGGGCCGGCCTTAGGTGTTCAGGCGCCCTGTGCGAAACAATCTTGTAGCGCCCCCCCCCCCTCACCTGTCTCTGTTTGGACCCCTTCAAACTATTTTAGGAGCATTCACAATCTGTTGCCTCCACCCCCTTCTACAAAACACTGCACCTCTTAACCAAAATCCCTGGCCACCACTTCATCAAACTCCTGGCCACCCCTTCCCCTTCATCAATGCCCTGGCCATCCCTTCGTCAAACTCCTAGCCACCCCTTACCCTTCATCAATCCCCTCCCACCCCTTTATCAATTCCTGCCACCCCTTCATCAGTCCCCTGCCCCTCTCATCAATTCCCTCCCACCCTTTACTCAGCCCTCTGCCCCTATTCATCAGCCGCCTGAGCCCCTAATCAATCCCCTCCCACCCCTTTAACAGCCCTCTGCCCCATTCATCAGTCCCCTGACCCCCTCACCAATCCCCTCCCCCTTTTATCAGCCCCCTGACCCCCTCATCAGTACCCTCCCACCTCTATCACCCACCTGCCCCCTTTAATCAGTCCCATGCCCCCCTTTTCAACCCCCTGCTCCCCTTCATCAGCCCCCTTAATACATCCCATGCCAAATAATCCAACCCCTGGCCACCCCTTCATCAGTCCCCTGCCCCCTCATCAATTCCCTCCCACCTATTTATCAGCCATCTGCCCCCATTTCATCAGCCCCCTGATCTCCTCATCAATCCCCTCCCACTCCTTTATCAACCACCTGCCCCCTTTAATCAGCCCCATGCCCCCCTTTTCAGTTTCCTGCCACCCTTTATCAGCCCCCTTAATAAATCCCCTGCCAATTAATGCAATCCATGCCACCCCTTTATCAACCCTTTGCACCCCTTAATCAGACCCTGCCTCCCTTAATCAAACCCCTGCCCCCCTTAATCATACCCTGTCATCCATGCCCAGTCCCCTGCCCCCTTAATTAGACCCAGTGTCACCCATAGCCAGTCCCAGTCCCCTGCCCCCCTTAATTAGACCCAGTGTCACCCATAGCCAGTCCCCTGCCCCCCTTAATTAGACCCAGTGTCACCCATATCTAGTCCCCTGCCCCCTTAATTAGACCCAGTGCCACCCTTATCTAGTCCCCTGCCCCCCTTAATTAGACCCAGTTTCACCCTTATCTAGTCCCCTGCCCCCCTTAATTAGACCCTGCCCCATTTAATGAAAGATGTTTGGCTTAAAAATAAATAAGGTACTTACTTTGAAGGCTGCTGCTCCCTCCCTGTCTGCAGAGCACCGGCCGCCGCCCTCACACATGGAGCGGATCCCTCTGCGGCTCTCTGTGAAGGTGCAGCACTTGGACACTGCGCCTGCGCCCCAAGCTCCTCCTCCACGCTCCGGAAACTGACCGCGGCTCAGCTCTCACACAATCTCGGGCCGGCCAGTGACAGAGTGACTGCGAGCTGTGTCGGCCGCCCGGCGCCCCTGTTGCCATGGCGCCCTGTGCGGCCGCACAGCTCGCACACCCCAAAGGCCGGCCCTGAATGTAACATTGTGTATTTTATTGTATTTTACTGTCTTTTTGCTGCCATGTGTTCAATGGAGTTTTGCCTCTGTCTTTGGAGATAATTAGATTACTTCTAATTATCTCCAGGATAGAATACTTTGTGGAACTGGTTTTGGGCAGAAAAGCCATGCTTCCTGTGGTCACAAAGGACTAAGATCTATCTTTTGAACCACTGGACCAATTTGTATGATTTTGACATATGTTTGTATTTGGAGTATGCTGATTCTGAAAATATGAATGTGATGCATACTTTTCAAGTTATGAATAATGTGGAAAAATTGTATTTCTCTGCTTGTGCTAAATTACATTACCCATGGTGTAAGGTAATTGAATCACATGCAGAGGGGAGGAATTGTGTGGGAGTGTCTGAGTGTATTGTATGTG